AAGTGCACCTTAACGCGTTCAAAGAAACTTTCGTTCTAAATGTCAAGTATCTTTTTCGACTGTAAAATATAAAATCCTGTTCCCGTTCCCGTAGGAATTTCGGAAAGTGTTTTACTTTCGCGGGCATAGATCCAACTCGATCCAACCATTACCCAAAGTTTCATGGCAATCTGATGAACGGTTTAGACAGGAATAAGGGACCGACAGACAGACAAACATTCTTATTTATATAGATAATAGCAGAACCGACGAACGGTGTATCGCATATCCCGACGAATCTCGTACATAGGGATACATTACCTAACATTGGCATATACTTAATGCCATTACAGTGTGCACATTTTAAATCCTTTGAGGTTTTGTGAGTTAAGGATGCCGTTTCAAGAGATAAGTAGTAGTGATGTGTTGCAAAATCACACTGTACCCATTTTCAATATTTGAAAGTATTGCAGTAAATTAACATATGCCTACTTAACTTTGCTTTGTATAGTAGTTCGTTGTATAATCACACTGCGCACATTTTAAGTTTCAGAATATGTAGAAGATTTGTAGCAAAATTACAATGTGCACACTTTAAAGAATGTCTACTTACATTTAATTTCTCGTTCGTTGCATAATCCCACTGTGCACATTTTAATTCCTTTGAAGACTGCAATTTCAGAACATGAAGATTTACGCAAAATTGCAATGTGTGCACTATTGCGTATTTTTAAGCGGCAAGCGTTTATTGGTCTTTATTAATACGTGATTTACAGTTAATCGAAATCGCGAATAACCTATAAGTACCTATCACTTTTGAATTTTAAAGTTGTTCACGGTTGGTAAGATTTTGTTGCCATTATTCTCTCACTCCACAGCTATGTATGAAAGATATTTTACCTACATCTTTCACTGAATTTTGCACGTACACCTTGGATAACTCAGGCCAAGTTGCCGTTATGTATGCCGACTTTTCCAAGGCATTCGACTCCATAGACCATGCAATAGTGTTACATAAACTAAAATGCTTTGGTTCTAGTTGTCAATTAATATCATTTTTTCGTACTTATCTTAATGATCGTTTTCAGTTTGTTACATACAATGGTTTCAGCTCAAAAATGTTTGAAGTAACCTCAGGTGTGCCTCAAGGTTCAAATCTGGGCCCACTTATGTTTTTAATGTTTAATGTTGATGATCTCAAAATCTTTGCAAAAATAGCTTCCACCGATGATTGTTTACGTTTACAAACGAATATCAACAACTTAACTGCGTGGTGCTCATCAAATAAACTCAAGCTGAGTATAAATAAATGTAAGGTGTTGTCATTTACAAGAAAGAGAAAACCTATACTATATTAGTCTCTCATATAGAGACAGTTGGCCATAGTCGCATTAATACTATTAAAGATCTTGGCATCACATTTGATTTCCGTCTCAGCTTTAAGGAGCACATACATCTAATTTGCTCCTCAGCTATGAAAACTCTGGGCTTCATCATAAGGAATACTAAGCAGTTTAAAAACATCAACTTATTATTTCGTTTGTATAACTCCTTGGTTCGCTCGAAGCTTGAGTACTGCGACCTCGTATGGTACCCACTATACAAAATATCTAAAAACGACATTGAGAGTATCCAACGAAGATTTTTAAAATTCATTATTTTCAAAATTGATGGAGAATATCCACAACGTGCTGTTCCTCAGGACACGATGTTAGCACGTTATTCAATGGAACAGAGACGAGTCGCGAATAGCATTAAGTTCCTCTACAAACTAACCAACAGTCATTTAGATTGTCCCTACTTACTTCACAAGCTATCCTTTACCATTCCAACGCATTCTACTAGGTACTTAAAAACCTTCACATATCCTACTCCCAAATCCAATCTCCTTCGCAGAACTCCCTCCTTAATAATGTCCAGTAATTATTATAAGATTTGCCAGAACTGTGACATTCATTACAACGCATTAGGTATGCAATGTTTTAAGCTTTGTTTGTGGTTAACTGAAAATTGTAATTTTGGTTCATCATCCTTTTTTTTGCTTCATTTTCTTTACTTTATTTTTTTTTGTTAATTCTCTGTTTATCAATATTCTATTTTTAGTTTAGAACTTAATTGTCAAAGGTATTTATTTATTCCACTAGTTACAATTACTTACTGCAATATTTATATTGATTTTTATGTTTTCTATTTTAAATATTAGTTCCTACTATAGTTTTAATAATGCAGTATGCGCTTAACAATTCATTTATCTTTTTTTGCGATTTTCATATATGGATGTCTGTTGAACAACAATAAACATTATTATTATTATTATTATCAGTAAATGGTATAATTCCCTAGCTATAACAAACATAGACACACTTAATGTTTCTTTGACATATAATGAAAATGGGTCGACATAAGAAAAAATAAGTAAGTACTTTGTTTTTGGCTTTTTAAACCGGTTAGAACCAATGACCGGCTTTTTAAAAGTTCTACCTTACTGTAAGTGATAAAAATCTAAATTTGCAACACCCTTAAAATATACGGTTCCCTTTTTACATTACCTGAATCATGTCCCTTGCTCGTTCAATCTCGAAGTACTGATTGATTCAACTCTAGAAAAGAAAAATCGACACAAATTCATAGGTCTCGTATAATGAATAACACCTTTGATTGGCAATTCAAGTTACCATCACTCGAAATTAATTTTGATATTCAAACTCAGAAAACTGTTTTAGCTTGAGTAAAAAAATTTTTCCGAATATTAAAACGCGTATTTTGCCAGAATTATTGGGTGGTAACTCTAAAACCCGGAAACCCCGCAACCGCTATTCAAAACTGTACTGAAATAAGGAGTTTTTTCAATTTTGCCCGTATAGTGCAGTTGGCTTATTTTCTAAAATTACCCCGCTAACTTCACACAACTCAAGAAATATGTATAATTAGTCGCCATATCGGCATCGGCAAAAGAAAAATTAAATCGTTCGATTCCTACGTTTAGTTTAACGCTTGAGATTCTTGAAAAAAACACTATCGGAGACTGAAACACTTGAGGCACCTGGAACATTTTGAACAGTGTTCACTGCGTGTAACCATTTAGTCAATCGCTGATCATTCTTGATTGAGTAGAATGGATACAACCAGATTATAAATATACAAAGTTCAAAAATTATTTCTCAAAAAGGAAGCATATGTGTATAATAGTATATTGAAAGACAAGTGTTACAATGCGACCTATTGTAATACGACTATCTTGTGGCACGAGTGGCAACGCGAAGCGTAGCCACGAGTGTCCGCAAGATAGGAGTATTACAATAAAGCATTGTAACACGCGTTTTTCATACTATTTTTTCTATTTCGGTGCTTTAATTTAATTAAAAAAATCATTATCAGAAACTATAGGGAACATTAGAACTAACATGTTTTATGTTGAGAACACTTTTTATGCCGTTAAGTTTTAGGTTGGCAGCGTAGTAAGAGTGACATTTTGAAGTTCAAACATGGAAGTACCCAACGAAGTACCTACTTGTACTAACTAGTAACTGCCAACTTAAGAGATAAGTTACCAAAAAAAAAACGACTATAATCACTGTCTTTGTACAACTGTTTTTGGCCGAAAACAGTTGTACAAAATCATCATTGTGACACCGAAATAGAAAAACTTTATTGTCGATATTTAAGGATTGATATATTAGATATGTATAAATTTAATATTCATATATGCATATTTAATTATCACCAAGTGAGTCACTGAGTTAACACGAAGTATGCAAAGCCTATTGCTGAAATATTATTGCTAACTTCATACGGATTTAGAAATCAGAGACACTACTGTACCTGTAGGCTGTAGGTATATTAAAATTTCATGATTTTTAAATTAAATACAAAATCCTTGGCTGGATCCTTAGTACATATATGTATAAATGGTTCCACATCATACTCTTACAATAAATTTTATAGAACAAAAACTGAATGTCGAATGTTGTAATTTAGTTATTCAGATATTTAAATCACTTAAAAATTGTTGAAATCATCTTGAATACTTGCGATCCTACCGAAATCTCTTAAAATCATATTTAGGTACATAATCTGAAATCCCACTAAAATTACGAGAAAATATATATCAATTGTAATACCTTAAAACTTCTTAAAAACACTTTGAAATTGCATGAAATCTCACTGGCATCATTTGGAATCTTGAAATGTGGTGTTATACCTACATCTTTATCAAAAAAGAACCATCTCTCGTAGACTAATACCGTATTACCTTGTACCTACCATAAATGAGAGCTAAAAGACCAATCAGAAAATTCCAAATCTTCAATAAGTGCTTTATCCAATTGCATAAATTAATAACTTCCCTATGCAGTGTTGTATGTACTTATAGCAAGCAGTACATTGGATATTGAACTTTTTCCAGAAGTATGTTGATATCAATTACGGCGGCGCCAAAATATGAAGAATAACAAACAAGATTAGCAGGATCATAAACGCTAATCTTGTTTATAAAAAATGTGTGCATATCATACAATATTTAAATGAAATGCCCCTTAAATTTAAACAAGTGGAGGGCCCTATGAATACAAACGTAACAATAGAAAATTATTCAATACCTAATACCGACTCCTATTTTCTTCGTTTTTCTTCGAAATCCCACCATACAAGGAGGTTGTTTAAACGAAAACAATGAGTAGATAAACAAAAATAGCATCACAATTGCAGCCGTTACAAACGTCACCGTACAGGACGAATTCCGGCAAAATTAATCACGATCGTTAAACCACAAATTTGTTACTAGGTTAAACAAATGACATCACCCTCCGTACAAATAATGCCTAAAATTAGAAAGTTGTGCAGACAAAAAGACGTAAAGTGAAAGTGATTAGCACAATAAATAATCCTTTAACACTCGTTGGGCATTACAATCCGCGACAAGGAAAGTTTTTCCAACATCGAATACACAATGAGGTTTATAGGATCGATATTAGCATTTACAGTTATAATTAGCATAATAAATAGCAAAAGAAAAAACTCACCCAAAAATCTTTCTGCTCGTCGCAGATTTGTTGTGGGAAATTCTAGCTCTTGGGAATGTCAATCTGTTCAAGCTTGGGGATAAAACGTCGCTTATGACTAATTTGCGGCACAAATTCCTATTTTAAACTATCAAAAACCTATTAATAATCGTCTAAAATAAACAAACAACACAACACACCGCGAGATATCGAGAAGAACTACTAACTAAAATGATGACAAAAGATTTCGACAGCCATTTTCATTTAACGTTTATGCGATTATCCCTACCAACCGTGAGATAATTACTACGATCATTACGAATTGAATTGAATGTTTGGCATACTTATAAATTACCATTTAATTTACCCAAATTAATCACTTTGCCATTCCATAATTTATCAGTAGATAAGGAACCACTTTAATTAACATGACGTAGTTTTCGTCATTAAATTAAAAGTTGGTATCAAACTGTTATGTAAATCTAAACGCGACTCCTACTAAAGACGCATGCGTGATTATTTTAAAAATTACCGCTATTTTCAAAACAATTTGGAAGTAAATTACACCTCGGGCATTATTCAAAATACGAGTATCACGTTAATTCAACTGGGGGTAATTAGATTTAACTGGAATTTCGGAATTCTATTAATTTAATCGAACTAAAGTTCATTCGATGTTACAATACGCCTATTGTGCATTTGAATATGTATATTAAGTCTGTTGGCCAGCTGAGCAATGAATCTTTGTTTATTAGGTACTCAAATTACTCAACAGACTTTGTTTCGGTTGGGTGTTCTTGCATTAAACTCCATCTCAGGGTATTCTCTGTTGATAATATTAAATATATATGTCTTAATCTTTTGTTACTCTTTGTATACTCACAGCGTTATCATCGGCATATCCATCAAATACCACATTAACTTTTTAAGATGTGTTCATCGATTACTTACATTCAAATTCTGTACCTTCGGGCAAGTGAGGCCCGTGAAAAAGCAGTGAATCTTCTTGATTTCCTGACTGTATGTGTTGAGCGGTTTAGTTCAAATTTTCCATAGCCACCTTTATCCTATTGTAATATCCTAATAGCACAGATAGACACATACATGTGTATATCTGTGGTAATAGTTCTAGGTGTAGTTGACAAATGCCAAATTGATATGTCTGGGAAAAGTTCGGCAGAACGTCAAAGTCCAGTATAGTCCGTTAATAGCAAAGCATCAATTTATGTACAGTCTTGAAGAGAAACTCATATTCTAATTACCCCATCATCTGAAGTACCTAAGTGAGATGGTTAAGGGATAAACATAAAAACTAAGTATGAAAAATCTTTATAATAACTATTAACTATCCTCTTTTAATAGGTACAAAAATATACTTTTATAATAAAAGTGTTTTTTATTAACAACTGTGGATTATTTGGTAACTAAAACAATAATAGTAACTCCTATACTTAATACAATGGCTTTTTAAAAAGCAAAATATCCAATATGGTCTTAGGAATAGGCAACCTTTTAACAACATTGTATATGTGATGTGATTTTTTTATATTGCAAATCAGTCTTAAATGGTTTCGAATTTTGTTTCGGCAAAGTTCAACTAGGCAAGGTGTTTCGGATCTATCTGACAGTTTAATGTCACTATTTGAACAATAAATGAGGAAATGTTTTTCAATACAAGGAACTGAAAAAAATTTAAAAGTATATAATATAGCGGCAAAGTTCTTTGTACTATCACGAATGCTTGTACATGAAGCATATTTATGTAATAAGCTAATTAGGTACTGTTTGCAGATTTCTTTTTCAAAACCCAATATAAAGGTAACCATTGGGTGGATTATTTCTGCCTTATCACATTCCAAAAGTGGGTGGTCAAGTAAGAGGTGTAATTCTTCATTGAAACCGTACTTCTCATAAATTGCTGATAAGTCTGCTAGTGTGGTGGTATAACCTAATGATAAATATAAACACATAATCTGCAGTCTATCTGATAATTCTATTCCTTTCTGTTGGAATGTAAAAGATAACCTTTTAAATAATCCCTTGGCACATATAGATGTATTGCTGATTAAATTCTGGGCCACAGAGGAGGAAAGCAGTAAATACATGCAATCCAGCCAATCTTGCTTTGGTAAAGCCGTATGCAATACTGCATATGTCAAGTCTAGATGATGTACTGTGAGATCTGTGAAATCTATGCGTTTCCAAATTTCCTTGAAGAACTCAAGATCATCGAATGTTAAGGAGATTCTTAATAGTTCTGCGCAGCAATTGTACCCGATTCCAACTGCTTTAACTATGTCAATAGCAATAGGATTTTTTGCCTTCGCTGCCAATGAAAGTGTTGTATCACCATAAATAGAAACTAATGAGAAGTCATCATAATAATCAAATAAGGTTTTGGCAACATCATATTGTCGCAAACTCATTGTGGCATACATAAAAGCTGTAAGGCCGCTTGACGAGATGATATTTACATCTGCATCATAATAAAGAAGTAAACAAACAAGTTCCAGATTATTACATTGAACAGCTTCTATAAGGGGAGTGTACAGTTCATAGTCTTGAGCATTTATATCCGCTCCCCACTTTATTAAAGCAGAAACTACGTTGTTGTTGCTATGTTTAACAGCCATGTGTAGCACACTTTCATCTAACTTACTTGTCGTTTTAACATCTGCCCCGTTACTCAATAAAAGCATCACAATTTCTTCCACTGGATTATTTGATAAGTGCAGTAGTAAAGGAGTATAACCCTCGTAGTTTTTGGGATCTATAATGATATCTTCGTGTTCAATCAATGTACGAATAACTTCAGTCCTACAGTCTAAATGTGAAAAATAGTAAACGCAATCGAACCAAACCTATTCAAGTATGCTGCATGATGTAAAGGCGTGTTGCCGTTGTTATCCGCATAATTTACACATTTTCCACTGTATAAAAGACTTTTGACTCTCTCATTGTCATTATTGGAAATCGCTGCAGATATAGCGGGAGTTCTTAATGGATCCTGGTAGACGAAAGGGTTTAACTACAAATTTATAAATAAATCAAATTTTCCTTCCCAGACTTCCTTTACTACAAGGGGGTGTGTGGATAGAAGGTAGGGATGCATCTCTGGTTCGGAATCTGAACTCATAACTCAATTACAAAAATTCAAATCTTTGAAGTTAATAAGCTAAAGTGAGGTTATAAGACAAAAACTACACAGTAGCTATCACAAATATACGTTAAATTCATAGCATGTAGATTCCGACGTGACTCGATTAAAATTCAAATGCGCATGCCTCTTCAAAAAGATGCTCGTTTATCTGAAACAGCCTGTTCATGGTGTGTGTTGTTTAGTGAGGTCAATGCAAAAGTCCCGTATGCATAGGTTAGGTTGGTAACCCGCTGCGATTTGAAATTTATGGCTTGTAACGCAAAAAAAAACATCAGGTACAAGTACAACTAAAAATAATTTGCTGTAATGTAATCCCAAATTTTAGCAGATGAGAACGCCCGGTGTTGTCCCCATGAGTATAGACTTATAAAGGGTTTCGCCTTGTAAAAATTTAAATTTTAAACTCCAAAAAATGATATTTTTGTACCTACCTAGTCCGTGGACTAAATCACCGTGTTTTGTCATTCATTTAAGGGGCTAAACGGCCAGTTTTTCTCCCGCAGGGAGAAAAACGCAACGCGGGACATAAAGTGACAGTACACAATTTCATATACCTATGTACAGGGTGGCTAACTAAGAATGCGAGGTACTGTATCTGAAAACCTATCCATCGTAGAAGTTTGCGGTAAAAAAATTATTAAAAACGGCCACGAGAAAAACCTGGAAAATATTTTTAAGTTTCTGAAATTGCCGCTAGGGGGCGTAACTGCAATCTAAAAAAGTGATGTTCCTATGAATTCCGCTATATTAACCTAACAAAAAAATGTCCGGTCTTTGAAGTCGACGATAATCTGAACCTTTTTTGTTTGACAGTTTTTGTTGTATCTCTAAAAATAAAGTGGTGGGGGGTATTCAAAGGTTCCGTAAAGAACACCCTGTATCTTCGAAACGGCTGAGCCGATTTAAACAAACTCGGGTTAGTTCAAAAGAGGTATTCTTCAGCTACAAATATTATAAATTATATTTGAAGTTTTTTTGTTTCACATATCACCGCTTGAAGGCTTTTTTCGACATTCCGACAATAATGGTTAATTTTCTCAAAAAAATTAAATACATTGGTTCGATTTTTTTTCAAAATATGTGATACGTTTGTGTTTACTCGAAGCATCTGGTTAAAGTTTCAAGAAAATTATCTATGAAAATTGTCCTAGTGACAGCCTTGGAAGTTGGACAGAGAAACACGAGTTGGAAAGTGGGTTAAAAATGGTTAAAATTAAAGTCGGGTGTTTAGTAATATCACTGGGCGTTGAGTATGGTAATACTTGTACATATTGTACAATATGTTTTGATTGAATGTGTTAACTGTTCACCTTTAGTTTTTCTTGATAAAATTGTTATCAGACATGTTTTAGGTTGTCATGAACATCAACATAATATAATAAATGGACTGCGCATGCCAATGCTAAGTACGGATACTGCAGGTGAAAGAGAAGGGAAAAGTAAGAGGGCAAGCGGTCTTTTACGGTTACGCATCTGATTGGTTCTGTCAACAGAAGCGACAGCGATCGCATTCAAGATAAATTGAAAGAACCAATCATATGCGTAACCGTAAGAGACGGCTTACCCTCTTAATTTTTATTATTATTATTATTTGTAAATTTTTCTTACAAGATGTGGTATAGTAAATGGAATTTTGTAACAAAAAGGTATAAACAGAGGAAACTTAATATTTCTTTTATTAGTCACAGATGATCTAAGAAGGAGAACATAAAAATGTGAAAAAGACTATCAATTAAAATACCATTTTTTTTATCAATTTTACACTGATAGGATAAATCGGCAAAATCACATTATTACATTTGCATAGAAAGCATTGCACTTTCCCACCAATGCGCATCACAGATAAATATCCACTTTACAATACATATAACAAAGCGAAATACAAAAAAAAGAAGTTATATTTCTAATGAGCAAGCACACATAATTTACAAAGACTTTTCATCTAAAGTTAGGTACATAGAAAAAGCTTTTTTTTATAGATTGAGAATTAAAACATTTACATTTTTCTACAATCATCACCTATTATTCATATATATATAATTTTCGTATTTTAACTATATACAATATTCATTTTAATGTTGTTAACTATATGTATGTACAGTCGATTTCATAAATATTATGCCCTGCCTCTGCAAGTACATATCCCTGAGCATCAAAAATATGGATTACCATTTACTTTATATTATTCGCAATTGTAGGAAGTCGCACGCAAAATATTTGCTACTCAATTTTAGAAATCCCTTTGCAAAATCTCTACACCTATTTAATATTACATACTAAAAGCATTAACAAATATTCAACCAAGTGATGATTATTGCACGGTTAAATTGGAAGAAACCTCTAAAGTTTTCCCATCGAAGGTAACAACAATCTGGTCGGGGTTGAAACAAAATTAACAACAAACATTTTTGCCACCAATTGTTTAAGAAATAAAACTTCCTTTAAAGATTCTTTCCAATGTTTTCACGAAACAATAAAAAAAATAATTCCGCACGTAAAAATAACACAAAAATTTTTGTAAAAAATTGCTATAGGTTATGAGCACCATCGCGATTGTAAATAATTAAAAATGATTTAAAAAAAAGGTCAGTAACATCACATAATGCCTAATATCACCAACTATGAGACAAATTTGCTCATTTCACATTCATTGCATTGTCAATGTGGGGATCACCTCACGGTTATCATAATTTTATCGACACCCAATAATTGTTTTACCTTCTCACTATATTTCACTAAAGCAATTTTTGATGCTCGAGTATTTATTTTCTCGCCGACGCACATATACTGACAGCACCGCGCCTGCTCCAAAAAGTCTGACATTTTGAGTTCACGCAAGACACTTTTGTAGTTAGTATGGACACTCGACGACGGTACAACAGGGCATATTTGTTTCAAAAGCGCATCCCTCGACTTAATCCGAAGTAGGTTCGACAAATCCTGAAGCAAAATCCATCGATCCATCGGCGCGTCCCCTCTAATACTATAAAGATTTGGTAACGGATGATCGCTAATTTCGAACTCTATATCTTCCTCATCCGAGGGTGGGTCGACCGGCGGTACATCTTCGAGGGGATCGTAACCGGTTTCGGCTAAATCTGGACATGGATGTTAGCGAAAATGGTTTGTTTTCGCGATATTGCTTACCAAAACAGCTCGCGGGTCCGTGGAAGTCCCAATGAGCAGATGGCTCGCCTGCAACGTCCGCTATGTGATTTTGCAGTAGGTTAACAGTGACTTCCTCGGTGGCAAGCGATAGGGGTTTTAGGCCAGAGTAGGTTGCTAAGGTTGGATCTGCTCCATAGGAAAGTAGCAGCCTCACTATTTCAACAAAACCGTTCTCTGCTGCTTCATGAAGGGGCCTGTAAAATCAAACATAGTTACCGTTTTCATCCCTAAATAAAATATAAAAACAAAAGTCATATTTTTTCACTATATCTAAACCCCCCCCCCCCCCTTATTATACAAGAAAAAATACATTGCAGCCCAAAATTTTAATAGTACAAGGTTTTGGTACGAAAAGAAGTTTTTTTTTGTTTCATGAATTATTTCAAAAGATCGTGAACAGCTTTGTCTAATAATAACATGTTTATAAGGTTGTGCCACTAACACTATTTATCGAGCTACTCATTAAATGCCCGACAGCCTTTTCCAAAATGGTACATTTACGTGTGATAACTCTTGAACGAAAGGTCCTAAAGACTTTGGCATATAACCCATTTTATAATTGCGCGACAGGAAGATGTTAACCGATTTTAAAAAATAAATTTTTCTTGTTTTGCCTATTTCATGCGAATATTTTCGCTATTATTATAACTTCGAAATAAAAAATGAATTTTTTTGGCCCACCCTGTAAACTAAAAAAATAATTTGTATAATTAATTCATACACAGGGTGTTTTTTTGGGAGCTTTAGTTAAAAGTAAAATAGGTATTTCGAAAATTTGTACTTAGCAGTTACTCTGAAGGCCGAATCGATATAAAATATAATATAATAAATATCAACCCCTATTTTTTATTGCATTTTTGGATTCTACGTGAAATTTCACTTCTTTTGATACCCATATGTCGATATCTACCATTTATGGTTTTTAAGTTATTTTGACTTTAAGAAAGAAATGCCGGATGCAGATGGTACCTTGATAATTGATTACTTGAAAACGGTTGTAGTGATGGCAACCTATTTTTATCAGTGCATAGAGAATGAATAGGGCCTTCTTTTAGTACACTTAAAAAAAAGGTAAGTTGCGTACGACCGCCCCTATGGATATCCAAATTTATGAAACTTCAAAGACTAAAAACTCAGTTTTTTTAAATGGAATGACCATGTTCTTACTATTCCATGAGATAGAGAATCGAAATGGGCATATTTTAACAATACATGTTCCTATAGCTATCTTTAACAGTTTCTGACTTATTCCCATTTTATTGAATTGACACTATTTTTTTAGGATTTTCTTTTTAGTAGTCGGCCATGATTCTATAACAATTGAATTTTAAACAAATCTAGTGACACTAATCCATCACCCACTGTTATAGGTTAACATAAGTTTTTCAAAAATCGAAAAATGACTCGCAGTGGTCTCACCTATTTTGGAATTTAATTGTTATTTATGGTGAAACGGACAGAATCGCGGCACGTGCTTGCCGTACATTCATTCGAACACTGGAACGAAATTGTATGAATTTTGGAACCCCCAAATGCACTACAAACCGTTGAAGCACAAGTGATACAAAGCTCTACAAGAGAATATTTAAGAAAATGAATTGAATTGCAATTGCAAGATTAACAAAATAAATTCAATGCAAAATATAAAAAACTTCGTTGAAACATTTTTAGTATGGAATTGTTGCTAGAACAAATATCGCAATACCTCTCTGAATTTCCAGACTTATACGTTGTTTAAGAAATTCAGTTGAACGACTCTTTAGATTTTTCAAAAATTTTCCGTCCTATATCCTTAATATGAGTTATTTATTAATGAATTATTTAGACTAGAACTAGAATCAACGGTATTAAAGAATCCATTCCTTGATTTGTTTCAAATTCGATTGTTATAAAATCATGGCCAACTACTAAAAAGAAAATGCGAAAAAAAATGGCATCAATTCCGAGATCAATTCAATGAAATGGGAATAAATCAGAAACTGTTAAAGATAGCTCTAGGAACATGTAATATCAAAATATGCCAATTTCGATTCTCTATGTAATATTAAGAACATGGTCATTCCATTTAAAAAAACTGAGTTTATAGACTTTGAAGTTTCTTAAATTTGGATCTCCATAGGTGCGATTGTACGCAACTTAACTTTTTTTAAGTACACTAAAAGAAAGCCCTATTCATTCTCTATGCACTGATAAAAATGGGTTGCCATGACCATAACCTTTTTCAAGTAATCAATTATCAAGGTATCAAGCTGCATCCACCATTTTTTTTCTTAGTCAAAATAACTTAAAAACCATAAATGGTAGATATCGACATATGGGTATCAAAAGAAGTGAAATTTCACGTAGAATCCAAAAATACAATAAAAAATAGGGGTTGCCATTTAAAATAGCGGAATCTACTTCCGATATTTCCGGAAGTGCAGACATTTTGAAAATATTTTACATAGATTCGGCCTTCAGAGTAACTCCTAAGTACAAATTTTCAAAAACTTACGTATTTTACTTTCCCAGAAACGTTTAACTAAAGCTCCCAAAAAAACACCCTGTATAGGGTAAGTTTTTTCTGATGGTTGATAAAATGATCTTGGAAACTAGTAGAGAGAAACGATTCAAGGGGGAAAATTGCAGCTTTACTAGCACATGTAAATATTCTTGATTTTCGAAAATAATGCATCATGAGTAACTAGATAAACGCACAAATATTTTTTTCGTTTGGTACCTCTGGCTTCATTATTATTGAATTTAAAAATATTTACTGACTTGTTGTCCACTTCAATTTTCACCGAAGGATTTATCTGACGAAATATAAGTTGGTCATCTTTCTAAAGTTAAATTAAATTGCGTTGCATCAACTCACCACTGCTTATTATAATGAGACAAATTATACATGCAGTTGTTGGTTAATTATATGGTAAATAATTATAAATAACTTCGTTGAAAAGCTATTCCAATTAAAAAACGTTACAATACCGTTGGAAGAGTATCGCTTGTGTATTAATTATCTAAACATAATTTGGTTTCTTTATTTGAGGGGTACATTACAAAGAAAGATGACAGTATAATATTCAAGTATCGCTCATTAATTAAACTCCAAAGAAATCTGCTAATGTCTCTTTGTGAAAAGTAAGGCTGTTAGCTCAATAGGTCTCCTCAATTATTTAAAAATAGGTGTTTACGTAAATTCAAATCAGGAAATCCTGTGGTTACAGCAAAAGTTACTATATTTATACGACTACCGCATCTACTTAAACGTTGGTATCCGTTATCAACAACATGATACGATACAGTAGTCGTTTACAAGTGTTTTAGTTTTGACAAAACATATCCGCCGTTTCGCGCTTAGGTTTAGATTTACACCAAAGCCAGTGAAATATTGCTATGTAAACTTTAGATTGAAATAATGCCGACAATAAGGGTAATGCCTTCCTGGGTTGCTAAAGAATGAGCATAAGCACACGCTATATTTAACTTTTAGGAAATGTGATGGAATTTATTACAAAGAGGCATATGATTGTTGAGTTTTATTTAATTTTAGTCGTAGTGGTACTTAAGGCTCCTCTGTAGTCAATCCGCCATATTGGAAAAATAGCTAAACTTTCTTATGAAATACTGCTTTTGTAGTTGAAGTCTAACAAATTCTCGATAGTGGATATTCTTTGCAATGATGAAAAGAACGGCCGTACTTAAAAAAAGTTGAAATATCGGTCTTAGTTTTTTAGGAAGATCGATGAATAGAAAAATCGTTTTTCGTAAATAACGGCCGTTGTAATGGGAGTAGAAAAACCTACTGCACCAATTTGGAAATCCGACAGTATTTCTTACGGCGGTACTTCCATCTATTATGATAAGTAAGGCATATATTTTAAAAAATATGTTTCGCGATCTTCTGAAAAAAATCAAAACGCTAACGTAAGGATAGGCAACTCAAATTGCACTTATAACGCCTGAGGCGACAACTCATTACTTGAAAGGGAAAACAAAAGAAACTACCTGGCATTACCCTACATATTGTTGCGCCGTTCCTAATGATATGGATTAGATAAATTACTATTTATTATTTATTTATTTGAATGCTGTTGATTTGTAAATCATAATGTCACATATTCCCAAGACGAAAAATGGATATCCTATTATAGGTACATTGGAAATAATTTTTTATTTCTAAAACCTTTTGCATCCCATCAGCATGCTTCAAGAAATAAAAAAAACCTATAATAAGGCTGTAATAATATTTCCCTTTGACGGGGCGGGTGGTACGTACAATACTAGGTACTTCACATATTATATCATAAGTAGTGCTAAATATGAACTCTGTTTTATAACAATGCTTTCAAACTACTAGAAGCGTAGCACTTTGTTTAGTTAGATCAAATCAAAAATGACTAAATTACACGTTTGTGTACATTTCCCATCTAAAATTATCAGTTTCCTCAGATAGTCCAGTATGCGGAGCAGTCAGAAGGGCCGATTCCTGCAAAATATGGTGTAAACGATTTTAACGTTTTAAATGGTACATTTGGGTCTAAATAACATGTATCTGAAGAGTGCACACCAATTTTTTCCCGGCACAACTTTTGGCAGCCAAAAAACCTCAAAACGTTCGGACTTTTTTCAATTTTTCTTGAAAACGGTCCATATTTTATGAACACTTCTTTAGTAAATTAAAGAAAACAAAATTCTGCGTCGATAAAAAAAACAAACAAAATCGGTCCAATAGAACAATTTTTACAAGCGATCAAAAAACGCCCATTTTTTCCAACTTTTCTAAAGAACTGAGTTAACCTTTTTTTAATGCGTTGTGGCTCCTCAAGGAACGATAAAATCCACTACCCCCCCTCCCTAAAGATTGTAGAACATCAATCAGAGAGTTCAAAAAGTACCAACAATTTAAAATTGGACCAATTTTTGATATTCGTTGAAAAAAATGGGCGTTATTTGATCGCTTGTAAAAATTTTTCTATTGGACCGATTTTGTTTGTTTTTTTTATCGACGCATAATTTTGTTTTCTTTACTACTAAAGAAGTGTTATTCATAAAATATGGACTAAAAGTAAGTCTTCGTGAAAATTATCTATTTCGAGAAATGCGATCAAAAGCAAAAGATGCACATGCCCTTTGCTTTCCATAAAGTTGCGCCCAATAGATAACAAATGACACATAGGCATTTTTTCACTTATTAGCGGAACATAAACATAGGAAACGTCGTGGTATGTTATATAAAAGAAACGCTACCGATATAAATACAATTCCCCTTTTTAGTTAAATTCCTAAGCGGGATACGATAACTAATGGCCGACACTGACAATTTTATTTAAAACAAAGTGTCACTGTTTTGCTCATGTAAAGTCAAGTTAGTGAAAGTGGTGGATATAAAAAAATTCTTGCACTTTTAAAAAAATTCGACTATTTATCTTTCCGTTTGAGAATACCTTTTGATGGAGTCCCACAAACTTCACATCAACTTGGCGAATTTTTTTTCAAATTTCCAATGTCGACAGAAACCGGTAAATTTTTTCTACTACCTACCTCTTTTTTCAATATGGACTGATATCAACTTTTTTTTTTTTCTTTTATTGTATCTAAAGGATTATAATTTCCTATTACAAGGGTACAAACGTGCTAAAACAGTGCGTAATACTTTAACGAAAACAATTTAACAAAAAAAATAAAAATATTAAGAGAATTATGAGACATGAGAAAAAAACAAAAAGTTGAATCATTGTGGTTTTACAAATTATAAAAAAAAATTACTCATTTAATAGGAACGATCGCGCTCTCAACATAGAGGTGACAAAATATATCAACTTTATCAACAGGAATATTTGTCCCTCAAAAAATAGGAGGATCTTTTACCATTGAATTCAGGGCAAAAAAGTGAAGTCATCTTACCGCACAAAAGATGTTCGGAAAAATTCTCCATGGGTCGTGCATAGATATAAATAAGTAATTCGCTAAATGTACAATTGTTATTAGTTTTTGAAAAGATAAGAATTTATTTAGAATGAGTATAAATGTTATACTTTTAATCATTGTAACAGAATTTTAAATGTTAGCTACCATTTTTATGAAAAACATACATTTTTTGTTGTTGTTCACCCTGGTATATAAGTAAAGAAAGATTTATTTTAGGTGTTCGAAGTGCCGGTTTTTTTAGGATGTACCATACCTAAGTGAATTCATTCATGGACATGTACCTAATAACTATAAAAATCTATAAATCAGTAAAAATGATTAGAACAAATCACAAGAAATAAAGGGGTAATTAAAAAATGTTATAACAAACAATGCTAATCTAGTCCACTAATTACTTGAAAACCAGGTAATTTACAGAAGGTGTCATTATAGAAAAATGCAGTAAATGCATTGAATAAGTAATTTATTCAACGGTAACAGAAATAGGTATCTGTGCATCTCCAGTCAAATATTGTACAGCTTTTCCATAAACTTGTTTACATAATTAGTCCTTGATCATTATACATGGTCTATTGTGTTTGAACAATAAATGAAGAGAATATGCAAAACTGAGAAGGATAGATACATCGTTGGATTCACTCAAGGATATCATGTAGCAGTGTGTATTGTTGGTGGTCTAACCAACTGCAATAACACTGAAATACAAATTGACTACAGAGGAGCCTTAAGCGGAAAAAATGGTGCAAAAATTTATTAGGTTGTAATTGTTTCTTGTTGTAATTTAAGACGTAGAAGTTAAATAACATGTGGGTAAAGAATGTATTGCGAAAATTAGTTAACAAATGCTTGATAAAGGGACTTTATCAAAGTAAAATTTAATTGAATGATATAAGCGATGGCACAGGTGTTGCTCGCTTTTCGTCGGCCTTTACCGAAGATTTAAAAAACGCGATGGAGGTGGTGAGGACTTTTATAAGAAGATGAGGGTTTGTTACAAGGTTTAATTTGTGTAAATTTGAGCTAGCTAGTGTTATTTAACTGGTGTAATGAATTCATGCCATAGCATCTATTTTTTATGAGCCGGAATAAAAGGGAAACAGCAATATTTATTTAATTATCTATTTCTTGGGTCGATAAATAACTCACAGCCGGCTTACGTAGAAAGAGTCACTACTCACCTTATTCCTCCTTGCGCCGATTCACTAACATTAGCACCATATAGCAAAAGTAATTTGGCAATGCTGAGATGGCCTCGCGCACACGCTTCATGCAAAGGTGTATACCCGGCATTATCTTTCGGCGACGCGAAGCTATCCAGTTTTTCTAAACAGTATGCCGTTATATCCTGCAACAACACATTTATTACAAAAACATAAGTGACATCGTTACGAAAAATTACCGTATAACCTAGCCTCGCTGCTCGATGTAGATGCGTTTCGCCTATACCTTTGTTCATGACCCACATTTTGATTTCCCTCTGTATATCCTGCTCCGATTCCGGAGTAGCCTTCGGTAAGGCTCCTCTTCGTTTCGGTTTCGGTGTGGTATCCGTGTCTACGTTTTCCTTCTTAACCTGTTTTTTCTTTTTGCGAATGTAATCGAAACCGGAACTGAATTTACGTCGGATGTTCTTCATTTTTCTTCTTGCGGGCGTAGTGTAATCGTCACCATCTATCGAGGGTGTTTCGGATTTACTATCGCGATCCTGCTTAATCAAACTATCCTCGTCGACAAATTCCGATATGATTTTTTTGGCGGTCAACGATTTCAGCAAATTAACGCAACCCTTGCGACCTCGATTTAACAACTTATTCTTCAGAACCTCTCTCGTATTTTCGAGAACGGAACTAATTTTTAGGTCTTCTATACTAGAAGCATTGCAGTGTTCGTTCGAAAAACTAATATTTAATTGCGATTTGTTTTCTAGTTCTTCAGTATTGTCGACGCACGTAACGGGCGGTGCCGAAGCGGGACGGTCTTCACCAAACACCTCTTTGATTGTTGCTTTCTGTTTCAATACCCTGCTTTCTAACCGTGTCCGGGATGATTTGATAACAGTTTTGAATTCTTTATTCACTCCGAGCAAATTCTTGGAATTGTTAATAAAAGTATCCTTAAAATTGTCAATGGTCTTCTTTCGGAATTCTAACAAAGCGGATTCTTCCTTCACAATAGGCCCGATTGTTTTGGAATTTATGGTTTCAACCTCTAAGCCGGGGGTTGGTAACAACTCCAACTCTTTTTCGGATTTTTCGACGACCTTGGGAGCTTCCTCGCTCTTCTTTTTTAAACGTTTTCGTTTACGAGCACCGCATCGCTCCATCAATCGATCCAAGATTGAATTGGTATTTTTTGGTTTGGAGATAGGCGCGCTTTTAACAGATGAACTGCCCTCTTCCGAATCATAGTTATTTTTAACGAAGGAAAAGCTAAAGTTTGAGTTAGAATCGAGATCGCTATCTATTGGTTCGACTTTAATTCTGGCCTTCACGCAGTCGGGATTGTCAGAGGGAGAAGGAGAATTTGGGCACGGGTCTAGATCTGGTAAGGAGGTGGATAAACGGTGCCACTGAGGAGGTCTTGTGACGTGTATTAATGCCGCAGGCATTCGAAGCGATCGTTTGTACTTGTAAACCTCTTCCTCCCATCCGGGATGGAAATCAGTTCCATCTCCAAACCCAGATTTGTCTTTGGGAATGTTAGACGCGTCTTTTCCTCCGTTTTCGTTGCCTTCTTTCTTAATTTTTTCGGAAGAATTTTTAACTGTTTCGCTTTCAGCTTCGGAACCGCTATCACAACCCACTTCTACTTTAGGCGTTATATTCTCCTCCTTTTTTATTGAAACTAAACCTTCGGCATTCCCAACGGTTGTAGTAGTTACTGTAGTTTGATTCTTACAATTGATAAGAGGAACGTCCGAGTCCGAGTCGCTACCCTCCTCTTTGATTTCCTCTTTAACTTTATCGTCAGGTTTTTCGCGAGTAACTACAGTTTCCAGTTTTGCTAACACGTCAGCCTCCACTTTTTTCCGCCGTCCTCTCTTCTTTCCAATACCAGTCTTTAACTGCGCCATAAACTTGTCACACGCATCGTCGAAGGAAATGTCGAACGACAGAGACGGCTCACCACCCTCGTTAGAGCTTGTCTTAGGTAGCACTTTCCGATCCCTACGCATTTCCAATAACGATTGCCTTTCCAACACCGGCATCTCGGTGTCCGAATCGCTATCCGGAAAATCAAACACGGACGTCTCGGAGGAACTTCTTAACCCGGATTTATCTCTAGGAGGTACGTTGCTCGTTACCGTTCCGTTCATCTCATCCTCGCTTCGATTAAACAATTTCCGGCGAGGAAGATGAGAGGATTTTTCGCGAGTAAGCTTAGGAGGACTAGAGCCGTTCGAAAGTTCGATGGATAGTTTTAATTGATTTTCACTGAGCGGTCGAGCCGCAGTGCTGTCGGTCGTTGCCGCGTTGTAATGGTTTCCGACTTGCTTTAACTCCGCTTTGGTACGAATACGGGCGGCGAGAATCGCAGTCAATCCGTCTAGGTCTGTATTGGAATTGGCCAGCGAAGCCATGTTGGGATCTAAATGTTTGTTAATGGCTCGATTATCTTTGGGAATTTCGCTATCGAATTTAATTGAGTCTATTGCTTTCGGTAAATGGAATTTGTAAATCGGAGGTGTGTTACTGTTTTGATCAAATATGCTCGTGGCGGCAAACGGTGACATGTTGTGGCGCCCTACTACTCCCGGTTTTGGCTGTAAAGGTGCCATAACGTCAGTTGAAGGTTGCTGTACGTCTGAGCGGGGATGATGAAGTGGATGGTCCTGAGGCTTGTGTTGTTCGCGCTCTAATTTCTTTTGCGCCTCCTTCGCACCTTTAATTTCTAAGCTGTTGCGTAGCAAACTAAGAACCCGTCGATCGGCAGCACCCCCTACATTGTTTCGGTTTGTGTTCGCCATCGGTAAGGAGGAGTTTGAGTTTGTTCTGGGTAAGGAATGTTGAACGTAGAGCTGCTGTTGAGATCCATGATTAGTGTACCCAGGGTACTGATGTGCTACGGGAGTCGGCACGTAAGTCTGATTGTGACCACTATGCATGTACTGCGCTGAGTTGTTGGGGTACGGCTGCGAGGGTTGGCCGGAGGTGTACTGCGGTCTGTGATACGAGGCGTAAGATTCCTTGGTCCGGTCTTGAGTTGAAGTAGGAAAATTTCCATTCACAACTTGCTTAGAGGGTTGCATCGGTTCTTGTTGCAAACGTGATTTTGCGTACGAAGACAACCTTTGCTCTATCTGCTGATCGATAGTTTGTCTCCAAACGTCAACTTTTTGAATTTTGCTAGGAACAGCGGATGGCATAGGATCAGGTGGACGTTTACGTTGCGGATCACCTGATGGTACCGCGTACATAGCCGAACCTTTTCCGGAGGGTGGCAGAAAGTCGATGCGAGGTAACCCGTGCGCCGCCTTCTTGGGAGTGTTTTGTAACATACTCGTGGGAGGATAGTGAGGCGATGTATGCGTCATATTATGTCGAGGAACGTTGCCGGAAGGTTGTGGGGGAACCGTCTGATATGCTTTACGATCGTAGTATTGTCTTTGATTAACGTTGTCACAAGCTGCCTGTCCAGGTAATCGTCGACTATCAACTTTGGCAGCGGTCGGTGCTTGTGATAAAGCCGATACGTTGAAGTTTGGAAGAAAATCGACTTTCGGCACCCCTGAGCTGGGCTGAGGTGTCGGTTTGTTTGTATGACTGCGTTGGTAGGCATTATTGTACACCTCAATAGGATAATTACTGGGAGCTTGCATCGGTGGTCGTCCTGTTTGATAGTACTTTGCAAGTCGTTTTTGCTCGTTGCTTGTATCGGTGTCGTCGAGTGTCGAATCGGCTGACGTTCTTACAGTTTTAACCGATAAATCTAAGGGAGACTCGCGTTTTTGTTTAGCAGCAGGAGTCATGTTGGGATGTGGTTGTATGACTTTAGAGTTGGGCATGTGATATGTTTTGGGTGACTCTTGATGGGCATAAGATGATTGGGCGTGCACACCAGGAGTGCTTGTCATGCTTACAGTAGTAGAGCTTGTAAATTGGTTGCTAGAGTACGTAACCGCCGGAGGACATTGATAAGGTTGCGATACTGTTGTGCGAGTGTGATGCGGATTTGAGTAATCTGTGTGACTATTTTGAGAAGGGTATTGTTGTTGCACTGGAAGTTTCGCGTCGGTCACTTTTGTGGGATACGTAGACGCAGACGTAGAAGCGGACGACGCAGGTGCGCGTGGTTTACTGTTTGCAATACGTATCGCTTCTCGACTACTTCTACTGGAATGATAATTAAGAGAGGATAAAGCAGCAATCGGAGGTAGATTATGGGTTGTTCGGTAAGGTTGAGGTGTTTGAGGATTTTGTGCCAAAGACATATTTGACTGGTCTTTGAGATTAGTGTTTTCAGGATTATGAGAAGGTGTAGCTTTCGATGTTATGTATGTGTTTTCGGTTGGATAGGAGTTTTGTGAATGTGATGGATAAGGGTGAGCGTATGATACTTCTTGTGGTTGTGTTTGCGAATACCCTTGACTAGATGCTACCTGATACGAATGATTGTAGTACTGTGCTTGTTGAGGTTGAGTATGAACAGGGTAATACGTGCGACTTTGCTGATAACCCGAATAAGCTTGTGACTGTTGCTGTGTATGATTTTGAGATTGTTGCATTTGATGGTACGTTTGAGCCTGCGGTGCTGTTATTTCTTGTACCCTTGAAGGAGCTCTGTTTCCAATTGGAGTCGTCGATTGCTGATATGCCGGATTAGGCATAATATGCGACTGAAACTGTTGCTGTTGTTGCTGCTGCTGCTGCTGTTGCTGCTGTTGTAAATGATGTGGCGATTGTTGAATCTCTCGTGAATGCGGTCTAGCAAACTGATACGTATGTGATGTCGGAATAGATTGTTCTTGGTGAGAATTTGGCGCATGGTAACTGGAAGAACTGCGTATTTGCTCTTGTACTTGACCCTGATTGTGAGAGGATGGTCGCGACGGTTCGGATTGGTGTGACGGAGGCCTCTGTTGTGGATCACGAGGTTGAGATCTTTCTTGAGGGGGCCAATAGGACGACGTGGGTGTTCTTTCTGGATTTTGTTCTGCATTGTAATGAGGATTTTGATGTTCGGTTCCTGTGGGATACACAGGGTTTGACGTAGAACATGTTGCAGTAGGCAACCCTTGAAAGTACTGACGTGCACCCTCTAAAACGTTGGTAAAACTCACATCCATGTCCCGTACGATCCACCAGCCCCAAATTCGAGCTGAAACAAAAGAAACCTATTACTTCTATGTGAATAACCTGTGATTATTTTGGAAGCGACGCTAAAAAAATACTGGGCGTCGCGTCGGTAGGTGAACAAGGAAATACGAGGCCGTTTCTATAGCAACCGCGTCAGTCGCGATGAATGTATGTAGCAAAATTGGAACCTCGGGCGTATTAAACCATTCCCTAAATATCTACGTTTTTATTCTAACGAACGCCTGTAATATTAACCGAATAAAAATCATTATAATGTTTCAAAATTTATCGGTGCCAAATTAATAGCGTCGGGACGTCTCAAAGGGCGTCGTACTAACCCTCGTCAATGCTGGCACATCGCCCTCTCGGAATGCGTCATCTTCAATAGAAATGTGTAATCGCGTACGAAATTATACACTGCAAGCTTCCCAAAAACCCTAGATGACAATAAAAGACACGTCATCTAAAATAGGGGTTGATCATTTAAGCGGCAAGGAGGTTGTCGCTTTCAACATTATTGACGTTATAGAAAAAAACATCGAAATTGAGGTCAGTGACGGACGATTTATCCTTGACCGAACCCACTGCCGAATGCTAATTAAGTTAGCAAAAAATTTAGTAAGCGCTTCGATGTAAATTTTCGCACGTACCTGCGATTATTGAAAGAAAAAGCTTTCGGGCGGGATTAAAATTTCACCGTAAAATATTTCTTTTTAAGAGAACTAGATCAGAATACATTTTGGCAAAAACAAACTGTTATTAGATATGAGTGCATTGGAAAATTCTATCAGAATCATCAACGTATAATCAGGGTCAATGGCTAACCTAAAAAAAAATTAAACCTTGCTGTTTGTTTTAATTTTAATCACAGTCTTATTCTGTCCGAAGTTTAAAAATATGTATGCGCAAGTGACGGTCAAACGAAGGTTTGTAATTTAAAATTTATATAATAGTTGAGTAGGTGCTAGTAAATATGTTGGTTCTATCATATGCATTTCATTATAATGCTTTTTAAGAAAATTGCAGGAACCAACGATGAAAAGTCTACAAATGCTTCGATCTCATGTCACTGATGGTGTAAATTAATCAGGTAAGATTAGTCCAATAAATGAGTTGATTTCACTTTTTCAATTGGACTGATCTCCTTACCTGATTAATTTACACCATCAGGAACCAACGATATTACTTTTGATTTTTTTGTTTAAATTAGTAATGAAAGGCAGCAATACAATTTTTACGAATAATTGATCAATTTCGACATTTTAACATGATTTTTTCTACGAAAGTGTAGAAACGCGATTGTTTTTGTAGGTAAATTGATTGTGAAAACAGGTCTTTGAAACACTAGTGCGGCAAAAATGTTTTCTGCACGCATTTTCTACACGCTAATAAGAGTTAAGTAACCTTCTACCCCAACTTTCCCAACACTACATATTACTTGGAGATTTCAATAGTCACAACACGTTATGGGGATCTCGCCACACGGACGCAAGGGGAAGAGAAATTGAAAAATTTTTAAACATAAACCCTATCAACATATTAAATGATAATCAACCAACACACATAAATTCAGCATATGGCACATATTCAAGTATAGATTTAACTTTCACATCCCCAGAAATATTTCCGGAAATAGATTGGAAACCTATGAACTACCTTTACGACAGCGACCACTACCCACTACATATAACAATAAAAGGTAGACCAAAAGCATACTACGCTCCACCTAGATGGAAAATTAAAACAGCCAATTGGACTCTCTTCAGTGCTTTAACAGAAATTGAGGAAACCCTAGAGCCAGATCCAAATAGTATAGACACAACTGTTACTTACCTTGTGAACAAACTCATACAAGCAGCGGAAACAGCGATAGGGAAAACTAAGCCATCAAATTTTAAATTTAGCGTACCATGGTTCAATTCAATATGTAAGAAAAATGTACAAATAGCAAAAACAGCTTATAACTACTATAAAAGTCATCCAAATACGGAAAACTATATCATCTTTAAAAAAGCAAGAGCTTTATCAAGACGTACAGTAAAAGAGGCTAAAAGGGAATCATGGCAGTTATACGTCTCATCAATAAATACACAAACAACAAGTACAGAAGTATGGAAAAAAATTAAAAACTTGAAAGGAACTAAACAACAACAAAAAATTAATGCAATCACAACTCCCAACAATACAATAACAACAAATACAAACGAAATTGTAGAAATACTAGCAAATTTCTTTGAATATAATTCATCAGATAACAACCTACCTGAAGATTTTCTAAAATTTAAAACCGATACTGAAGCAACAACACCACCAGCAATGCTCACTCAGTCAACTCATATACTCAACAATAAAATCTCCAAATCAGAATTCGACAAAGCACTACAATCGACAAAAAATACATCAACGCCTGGACCTGATGAAATCCCATATATATTCCAGAAAAACATATCGGACTCTTGTATAAAATTTATTTTAAAAATCTACAATACAATCTGGATACATAACACATTTCCAAAACAATGGCAGCATGCCATTATAATCCCTGTTCTGAAACCCGGTAAAGATTCCATCGCCCCTACAAGTTACCGACCAATTTCTCTTTCCAATACACTTTGCAAACTGATGGAAAAAATAATAAACAATAGATTATCTTGGTACATAGAACGTCATGGGCTATTGAACCCGATCCAAGCTGGATTTAGAAAGAACCGAAGTACAATAGACGTACTATTAAACCTCGAATCTGAAATACATAATGCTTTCATAAATAAAGAAATACTAACAGGAATATCGCTCGATATAGAAAAAGCTTTTGACATGACATGGAGATACTTACCTTTAAAGAAACTCCGCGAATGGAAAATAGAAGGAAATATATACAATTTCATACAAAATTTTCTTCGAAACAGAACATTTCAAACAAAGATACAAACAACATTATCACGGAAGAAATCCCTTAAAAATGGCATCCCACAAGGTTCCCCCATCAGTGTAACCCTATTTTTAATGGCAATAAATGACATTACTACGCCACTTAAAAAACCTACAAAAGCATTTCTCTTTGCCGATGACCTGTTTATATATAGCAGGGGAAAGGATCAAACAACTATTCAGAAGCATCTACAAGTATCCATCAACAACTTAGTACAAACTGCAAAAATAACCGGCTTTAAATTTTCGGCCCCAAAGACAAAAATCATAAACTTCACTAAATTAAGAAAAGTAGAACAACCACACTTATTCCTAGGCAATGCCAGATTAAAGTACCACTCAGAAATAAATATATTAGGACTCACGCTTGACCAGAAACTTACCTTTAAATCCCACATAAATAAAATTAAAAATAAAACAACAAACATAGGTACTAAATCTATTAAAAACATTATCCAATTGTGAATGGGGAGCTGACACTGAAAGCCTGCTAAGAATATATCGGACTCTGATTAGACCTATTATTGATTATGGATCAATCATATACGCATGTGCGAAACCGACAACACTGAAAAAATTGGACCCTGTACATCATTCAGGAATACGTATTGCTTTAGGAGCATTCCGTACGACACCTATAGATCGCCTTTTATGCGAAGCGTCGGAACCATCACTTCAAACTAGAAGAATGATACTTTCTACTCGATATTACATCAAAAGGTTCAACGACCAAGAACATTTTTCTCATAATAACATCTACAGCAACAGATATTATCACAAGTACCTAAACAATGCATCCTTATCCCAACCATTCCACATCCGAATAAAAAGCATGTTAACAATAACCAAAAAACCATCAGAAATCACTACAAACGATAAACCTCGAATCCCTCCTTGGACATATGACATACCGGAAATAAACCTCTCCTTACTAAACTTTCCAAAACAACAATTTAATAACCAAATAATAAAAACCCAGTTTTTGGAAATACTGTCTAAATACACCGGTCAAGAAGTCTACACCGACGCAACCAAATTAAAAAACGAGGTAGGAGTAGCAATTATTCTGCCGGATCAAGAGATATTATACAAAATTAACGAAGCATCGGTTTACACTGGAGAACTGAAAGCTATAAAAACTGCACTCGTCCAATCCCAAATGCAAAACATTGAAAGTATAACCATAATCACCGACTCGCTATCATCAATACAATCCATACAAAAACTATATCCTGACAACCCCATCGTCCAAGACATACAAACAATAATAACTGAGAGACAACTGGACAACTATATAACAACGATTATATGGGTTCCATCGCACAAAGGAATAACCGGAAATGAAAAAGCGGATCAACGGGCAAGGGAAGCTGTCATAAATCCACATCAAATCATAACAGAATGTACTATACCAGACCTACAAAACATCCAAAAAACGCAAATTCTAGACAAATGGCAAAACGCATGGTCCCTCACAACACAAAAACTAAAAACAATAAAACCAAACATAAAGAAGTGGACCACTCAACAAACATCCAACAGAAAATGCCAGGTAGCGACCACAAGACTTCGGCTAGGACACACGGCTATAACGCACAACTACTTAATGCAGAAATTATTACCACCTATATGTGACGAATGCAACACGGAATTAACTGTTCAACACCTAATAATCGATTGCAAGAAATATGAAGTAGCTAGACAGACATACAACTTCCCAGGAACACTACAACAGGCGCTTAATCCGGAAGGACCGCACATCGAGAACATCAGTAAATACCTACAACAAATAAACCTATTTAAAAATATATAATGTGATAGTGTGTCTGTAATATTATAGGTGCCAATGACCTTGGTAGTCGAGGTACCTCCCAATAAATATATATTAAAAAAAAAAAAAAAAAAAAAAACGTATGCGAAGACCTCTTTGTAATTGTATTGCTTTATTCACAGTTTCGTTATATAAGACAATGCTAGAAAATTTGGATCACTAAAAACTACAATTAAACTACAACTAAAAAATCATACATGAAATATTACTAATTACTAATATTAATATTAAGGTACAAGATGAACAATTACCTATGCTTACACCTGGAATTGTCGA